CATTCTATTTGCAGAAAATCTGCACATTACCGAATGGCCCACCTTGCCATACACTCACCCCAGCTGGTGTCTGGGGTAGGACTTGGGCAGACAGCTGGGGAAGGGGACAGGGAGGGAGGGAGGAGGTGCCCTGGCCCTTCACAGGAGCACAACCAGCACCAGAGGCCTATCACAGGGGCTTCCCCCCTTCTACACCCTGCCTGCCCTCCAGCCGTTTAAAATCTGTTCTTCAGTCCAGAGCACAGGTCTGCTTCTGCCCACGTGACCTTCCTCTGAGGCCTCACCTGACAAGAGCTTCCTGGTGGCTCAGAATGGAGTCTAGGGTGACAGGTACAGAACTGACTTCTGGCCCCATCACTTACTGGCTGTGCGACTTCAGGCAAATAAATGTAAACTCAGTCTCCTCACCTCTCAGGGTGGCTGCAAGGATTCAGCGAAGTATGTCAGCGCCTGCCCAACATGTGATCCGCACCCACTCTCCCGCCCTCCTCCCTTCTTAGTCTTTCCTACCCTCTGTGCGGGATAAACCAAGAGTATAGTCTCCTTTTAGCAGAATGAGCTCTTCTATTCATGTCCAAAGAGCCAAAGTCCCCCTAGGTACCAGCTCCTACACCTGTGCTGGCTTTACCTTCAAGACATTGTTAACCACGGCCTCTCTGGTCTTCACACCCCTGTTTTCTCCAAACCCATGGTCTCTGCCTCTGCTCAGGCCAGCACCGCCTCTCACCGGTGTACTCACTGCGCCTCTCTCGTCCAGTCCTACCGCCACACTGTGACCAGTTTGACCTTTTAAAATTAGGGACCCAATCCTGTTGTTTCCCAAGTGTAAGAACTACCAACTGGGTCCCCCCGCCCCGCCCCCAGCCCCCAGCCTAGAGAAGAAAGGTTCTATGATCCTCACAGTGCTGAGACTCTATCAGGCTCATTGGCGCTCCTGGCCTCATTTCCTATCATGCCACCCCAGTTCAGTCACTGGGAACCCCCACTGTCAGCATTCACCTCTCTGGTTGGAAGATGGGTGAGGGCTTTAACACAGAGGTGCCAGCGCTGAGACTGCTCCTTCTGGTTGGCCTGTCCCAGAACAGACTTTGTATATAGTGAACAGGCTGGAAACTATCCCGCACTGACTGCACCCAGGTCCACTGGCCCGGGGATGGCCCCGCAGCCATGCCTCTCCCCAGAAACGAGAATTCCGCGCCTCCACCTGCACCACCCCAGGTGACCACCTGCCGCAGCGTGGGGTAGGACACCTCGTCCCCTATGGGCCGGGTATTCCCGCACCCCCTGCCCTCCCAGCAGACCCCGAGACGGCTCACCCCCCTCGGCCCCACCTTCGGCCGTTCTCTGTCCACAGGTAGCAGGGCCAGCCGTGGGATCAAGCTAGGAGGAAGGAGGGTCATGCTCCACCCTCGCACTCTCCCCTACATCCTACCTAGACGTGCAGCCAAGGCTAGTCCCGTGGAGCTGACACCGTCTGCCTCGCTCCAGAAGCCTGAGCGAGGAGTCTGTGGTGACACGGTAAAGCTCTGGTGTGTGCAGCGAGGAGCATCTCAGAGATGGGGCTCTAGCTCCGTTCCCCATGGACTGACCAGGAGCACGTGCTGCAGCGCCAGCGACGTCCAGAGGGGCGCACGCCCAGAGGCCTCTGCACATGCGCATCAGATTCCTCAGACCGGCCAATCGGCAGCCCGGAAGTCTGCACGGCGGCCCTTCCCTCTTCTACCCTTAAGGACTTTCACTGGCGTTTGCCCAGAGCCGTTATCCTGCTGTAGCTCTCCCGGAAGATGGTGTGAGGCGCATTGCGCAGGCGTGCTACGGAAGCCCCGCCCCCTCGCGGGTGCCGTCCAATCCCAGCGGAGGTGCCAACCAGGCGCCCACGAGCTGAGAGGAAATGGCTGGGCGGCCGGGGCCTTCGAGGTCTGAGTCCTCGGGGACGGGGACGACGGACCAGGCTGGGAAGACAGAAGGTAGTGCGGGGGGTGCGGGCCTCCGCCGGGGACGGGCGGGAGCGCAGGTGGCTTCCCCTCTGTATCCGCAGGCCGGGCCGCCGCGTTCTAGCATCTGCGGGAAAAGCTTATTATCTGCGCGGGGTGCACAGAGGGCGTCTGTCCGGTGGCTGCGGGGAAGGGGTTTGGATTCTGAGGGGAACACACAAGTGAGGGCACATTTTAAATCTTATTGTTTGATTTTCTGCGGGGACGGTGTAGGCACTCCGTGGGCACATTTCTTAACCGTCGTTCGAGGGTCCGATGTTAATGTCGGGCACGAGGGGTCCCTGCAGGGCGAGTGCCCTTGACCTCCGACGACCCCGCAGGGTGTTCTGGGTAACGAAGCGTGGTGTCTGCAGCTCAGCCTCACACATGGGGCACCCGGGGAAGGGCGTGCAGGGGCTGTGGCTTCTGTTTCTACCACTTTTAAGTAAATGTGGAATTGTTTTAAAATAGAGAGTCAAAAATAGGGAACTCATACTACACAGGCTGTTTTGTGAGATAGTCGTTGGCTCATTGGACAGCGATTTGCTGCTGCCACATTCCGCCCTTCCTAGGACAAGGCCCGGGAAGAATGATGGCTTGGCCTGCGGACTCAGGGTCCCGGTTCGATTCCGGTCAGGGCACAAGCCTGGGTTGCGGCCCGATCCCCAGTAGGGGGCGTGCAGGAGGCAGCCGATCCATGATTCTCTCTCATCGTTGATGTTTCTCTCTCTCCCTCTTCCTTCCTCTCTGAAATCAATAAAAATATATTTTTTAAAAAGTCATTTTGGGGTTACGGGGAAATTTATTAACTTAATATAACTATACGCAGAAATTTATTAACTTAGTATAACTATACGCAGAAATTTGTTAACTTAATATAACTATACACAGAAGTGTATGTGAACAGTAAACACTCTTTCCCATCCTTCGAGCCAGAGGTTATGTGGACTCGGTGGACGCAGTAGACGCGTATTTGGGGACTGACGCTGCACAGAGCCCTGTCGTGGGGATGAAGCCCAAGTTCTCCATGGGTTTCCCACTTTGACATCAACAGACACTGCTTCAGTGTCATCTCGTGCCCTTTGAATATTTATCTGAGTTGAATAGTTATCTGAGTATGTCTGATGGGTAAATTCCTAGAAGTGGGATTGTCTTCAACATGTTGCTGCAGCCACACGGTTGCCAGAGGTCGCGTTGGTCTCCAGTGTGTCCGTGGGTGTAAGGGCCCCGCGGCCAACGGCAGCCCAAACGCCGCTGTCACACTTCCTCATCTTCACCCACCTCCGGGGCACAAGGCGTGGTTTTCATCTCTTTCGTTATGATTTGAGGGTGTCCCTCTTTCCAAATGTTTCTTGGCCATTTGTGTAATTTTTGGTTAACCATTCTTTTCGCCACTCGCATGCAGAAATGGTTGTTTAGCTTCTCCATATTGATGGATTAGTTGGTTGGTTGATTTTCAAAATTTTTATTATGAAAAAACTTAAACATATACAAAGGTGGAGAACAAAGTATAATTACCCTACGAGCCCGTCTTTCAGCTTTAACGATGATCAGCTCTGGGCAGTCTGGTTTGCTCTTTTCTCCTCACCCCTCCACTGTTTCATTTCACAGCATTCCAGGCATCAAAGCACGTAACCCATAGATACGGCCTCGTACATCTCTAAACATTCTCTAAAGGATAAGTACTCTTTTCAGAAAGCTCACCACAATGCCATTGTGACCTCTGAAATTGTAAGAGATACAATCATTCTTTTGTTTCATCAACTTATCTGGTCAATTTTCAAATTTCCCTGATTGTGTCATCAATATTTTTTAAAGTGCATTTGTTTGAATCAAGATCTAAATGCAGTTTGTTTACTGAAATTGGTTAACATGTCTCTTTAATCCCTTTTAGTCTGTAAGGGTCTTCCTTTCTCCCTTTTCCCAAAAATTTATTTGTTAAAGAAGCTGGGTTGCTTTTCCTGTGGAGCTTCCCAATCAGAATGTTGCTCATTTCATACTCATGAGCCATTTAACATGTTCCCCTGTCCCTGTGTTTCCTCTGACTTGATATTTAAATTGAGAGGCTTAGTGAGTATGTGTCATTTTTGGTCAAGAATCCTACCTTGTATTTTTACCTGAGTGTCTCATGATGTCCGGTTATCTTTATTGTCTGTTAATGCCATTAGTAATAATTACCTAGATCTACTACTTTATTAGGGAGTGAAAAACACAAGTGCCTATATTGGTTATAACATGTCAACATGAAATACTTTACTGTGAGGTTCAGAATAACAATTGATTGTATACAGGGAAGCTCTTTGTATTTACATATGCTTAAATGAGACATCTTATTAAGCGTTCTTCCTATTCCTTGTGGGGTTTTAAAAATGAGATCTCTAGCACTTTCTAGTTGATTATGGTGTCTGCCAGTTGCAGTGATTTCTGACTCCTTGTTTCAGTTTCTTTTTTTAAAAAATATATTTTATTGATTTTTTACAGAGTGACAGGGAGAGAGATAGAGAGCTAGAAACATCGATGAGAGAGAAACATCGATCAGCTGCCTCCCGCACATCTCCCACTGGGAATGTGCCCGCAACCCAGGCACATGCCCTTGACCGGAATCAAACCTGGGACCCTTCAGTCCGCAGGCTGACACTCCATCCACTGAGCCAAACCGGTTTTGGCTGTTTCAGTTTCTTATATCCCTCCTTTCTTTCCTTTCACTATTACATCACGAGCGTGGACCCAGCCTTGAACAGTAGCAGCAGTGAGAGTGCATCCCTTCCTGCACCCTGAGTTTTAGTAAAGGGAGACCTGAGGTGTCATTTACCTGTTAGTGCAAGCTGCTCACGAAGGGGCTCCATTTATCTCTCGTGCAGTGTCCGCCTCAAGACAAGGAGCCAGCCGGGGCACCTCTCTGACTGGAGGTCTGCCCTCAGCCCATCTCAGTCCCAGCCAAGGTTGTCGGATCCTTCCTCTCCTACAGCCTCTCCTACAGGATCTGAAATGTTCTGTTTTGTCTCCACAGGGCAGGCCAAGTCCTCACAGAAAATTGAAAACTTGATGGAGATGGTGAAGAAGTTGCAGAAAGGTCATATGTCTCCGTTATAACTGAGGCTCAAACAGAAGTGGATTCAACTACAGGCCCCACAGTTCACAACCTTTGGAAATCAATTCATTCACTCTTACTTCTAAAACTTAATTCTTGAAAATAAAAGTATAGCCCTATGATCCAAAATTAAAGTATAAGGGGATAGCAGGCAAAACATTTTCCCAAAACCCAGTTGCAACCCCCTCGCTGACTACCCACCCACTTGACTCACTGCATGAAAGGGATTAAAGTTAGACCCAGGTTTTCACCTTCACCTCCCTTCCCTCCACCTCACCTCTGCTCCTCTCTGCTTGCTCACCAGGCTCCTCCCAGCCATGTTGCCATCTCAGGACAGACCTCTGCACCGACGGCCTCCCATTCCCACCCCAGGAGTGCAGGGCCTGCCCCCTCACTTGATTTGGGGCCTTGAAGAGGCCTTCCCATATCTGAAGAAGCATGTCCCACTCTTTCAGTCTTTGATTCCCTAGCCCCTCTATTTCTCTTGACTGCGGTTACCACAGCCCGAGTCAGTATCTTGGTTTATCTCTTCCTCGTCTCCCCTACCTTGAATGTGAGCCCCTGGAGGGTCCCCATGTGCCTCTGCCTGCCCTGTCATCTTTACTCAAACTCCTTTCCTCCCTGCAGCGGGAAGCCTAGAGCCCAGGGTTGAGGTCCTGATTAACCGGATTAATGAGGTCCAACAAGGTGGGTGAGCTCAGGAATTTTAGCTTGTCAGCCAGGAGGGCCCGGTGCAAAATGAAAACGCAGGACCCCTTGTTCAGAAATTACTAAGTATTTCACAACAGCAACTGCAGAGCATTAAACCAAGCACGGGTCCATCCAAATGCAGCTGTTCTAGTCCTGGGTCCATTATCCTGGCCCTGCTGCAGACAGAGCCCAACAAAAAGGCCTCTGGAAGCCTCATTTTTCTGCTCAATAAAATCTGGGTCCCTCTGGGTTCGCTCGAAGACAAATGTGAAATGTCACTGTTTACAAGGAATTGTGTAGCTGGAGGCTGCCCTGACAATGTCTGTCCTGCTCTTTGGCACAGCAAAAAAGAAAGCCAGTGAGGAGCTGGGAGAGGCCCGGACTGTCTGGGAGACCTTGCAGAAGGAACTGGACTCACGTAAGTGTGCCAAGGTTCACTCAGAGGTCCCCAATGTCATGCCTCCCTGAACCCAGTATTCCAGGCACTGAGCATGTGTACTGTGGCCAAGGGCCCCCGCCTGCTCTCCAGCCTCAGGTCCTAGCCTACCAAACTCCCCCTTGCCTACTGTGGGTAGGAGTATTCCCCAAACACCCTCCAAGCAGACTTCCACCTCACGGCCTTTGCTAGGCTGTTCCCCCAGATAATATCGGTTCCCATTGCTTCACATCATCATTCAGCTCCAGCTCAGATTTCCATTCTCAAAGACCCTCCCCAATCATCCCGTCCAAAGACAGCACCCTGCACCACCTGATTACATGCCCTTCCTGCTTGACGTGTTTCCTCACAGTCTTGGCCCATTTCAGATGATGTGTTTCCTTTCTCTCTTCCCTCCATATAAACACACCTGCATTCCACAGGGTCCTCCAGTCAGTCACCCTGTGTCACATCAGAGCATTTGGTGCTCACAGGGAGTGTGGGCACAAGAGGGAAGGGGGTTGGCCTTGAGGGGTCCACATTTGCTTTTCGGAGGAGTGCTGTACCAAACTGCCCGTGTCCCTGAGGGTACAGGGGGTGGTCCTTGATACCGGAATGTGCCTTGATACCTGAACCTGTTACTGTGTTTTCCAGTGAGTGGAGAGAAAGTGCGCCTGAAAGAGATCTTGAGTAAAAAGCAAGGTAACGACAGCTACACTGCCCCAGGCTTCTGCCTTTGCGCCCTGCGGAAGCTCACTCCCTGCAGGGCACCTGAGCCTTTGAATGAGCTGGCATCCCTCCTGTGGCTTCCACCCGATTTGTAGCAAATGACAGAGTCCCACCACGTGTCCACGAGACTCCACATGATGTAACGCTGTTACCTCTCCACAAACCTGATGCCTTGATGGTTCCTTTCCCTGCAGAGACCCTGAGGATCCTCCGGCTCCATTGCCAGGAAAAGGAAAGTGAGGCACAGAGGTAAGCGCTCACCTGGACCTCACTCTGCCCTGCCCTTCATTCTGGTAAAGAAAGTGAGGGGAATGTCGCGGATCACAGCTCTCCTGTCCAATGGAAAGGCCCAGCTCTCGCAATAGGCAGGCATGTTGTGGGTGTTCTCACTCACTGGGGATAATCATTTTTTTGCTAGAATACCAATTCAATTCTTCTGGCTGGTTTTTCTTCTAAGCCTTTTACTCTTTCCACCGGCTCCATGGCTGTCTGTTCACTTACCTGCCTATCTGTCCCTTCAACCGTCTGTCCACTCAGCCTCTCATCAATCATCCATTATTCTTCATCCACCTATTTGTGTATCCATCTCTCCGCCTCCTCAACACTTACTCAGTTCATTTTGTGACCAGAGGCACCAAGTCCTGGCATCCTCAGATTGGGAAATTCAGATGAGATGAATGTGTGTGTGCTTCTGCACTTGACCATGTCCCTGTTGATCTCCCTAATCCTCACCAAGATATTTCCAGGGGGCATGTGCTCATGTCGTCCCCCCCCCCCCCCCACCACACACACAGAAGTTATAAAGAAGGACTCCACCTAGAGGCCTAGGACAGACCTCAGGAGAAGGAAGCAGAAGCCCCACCCCAGCCCTTTCCTGGGGAGACATTCAGAGAACATGATGGAGGGCTGTCTTGCCTCTTTCCAGGAAGCAAGCCCTGCTAGAGGAGTGCAAGGAGCGAATCTGTGCCCTCAACTTCCAGATTGAGGAAGAGAAGAGCAAACAGAGGCAGTTGAGGTAAAGCCCAGTGCCTGAGGCCTTCGGGGGCTGGAATGGGTTATAGATGGGGGTGATATCAGGGATGGGGGTTAAGAGGAACTGGCCAAGCTAAGACCCAGAGGGTCAAGGTGGTGAAGTTTCCCCAGAAGAGCAAAGAGTATGGGCAAGCCCCCCTCCCCAGGACTGTACATGGAGACCCTTGGCCTGGGCCAGGATGTGGGGCGTCTCAACCCAGGACCCCTCATCCAATTGTGGTTGGCCCCCAGATTGGATTTCGAGGAACAGTTGGAGGAACTGATGAGCCAGCACAAGGACCTCTGGGAATTCCACGTGAGTCACTCAAAGCCATTCCTCCCATTTCCCCCATCTTCCTTGGCAGAACCAGGCCCCAGATTCAGTCATCCTCCCGGCTTCATTCCTCTCACCCACCACACCCAGTGCCTGCAAGCTGTGACGGCCATACCTCAAAATCCCCTCCCGTCAGAGCCTCATCACCACCCTCACTGCCACCCAGTTTCATCCTCTTCGCTGGTCCTGCCCACCCATCCCTGCTGCCTTTCAGGGCCCCTCAGTGGTCAGGAGGAATCCTGATGAACTAAGGAGGGGTCATCCATCAAGGAGACCCCTAGATATATTTGGGGACATCACAAGTAGGGGTGGGGGTCAGTGTTTGCTACCAAGGGATCCCAACCTCCAAACCAGAAACTAGTAAGAGAGAATGAATGTCAGGATGGAAGGGCTCAATGAGGGGGCCACGCAGAGGAATGAGGAAGAGCAACAGGGCTGGCTGGCCCCCGATTCTCCAGAGGACAACCTCCTGAGCCTCTCAGCACAGCACCGTTCCAGGCAGAGGCAGTAGCCAGTGCAGAGCCCCTGGGGCTGGACCGTGCCCGGCATGTCTGCAGGGCCAGGGTGGTAGGAAGTGAGGCCTGCTGAGTGAAGACTAGATGCAAGTAGGCTTCTCGGAGGCGAAGGGGGGAAGTGGGAGATAAGCATGGCCTCCTTTCTACCCCCTCAGAGTCCAGAGCAGCTGGCCCAGGAGATTGGCGCCCTGGACAGCAGCAATGAGCAATTGCTCAAGGAAGGTGAGAATGGGGGGGCCCTGCTCTGCCCTGCCCTGATCTGCCCTGGCCTGCCCATCTGTCCCTTCCTGCTGCAGAGAAGCTGGTAGAAGCAAAGCTGGAGGATGTGAAGAATCGTCTGTGCTCCCAGTTTGGTACCAAGGGCTGCTCTGCCATCACCGAGGGGCTCTTCCTGCGCAGCAAGGAGGCGGCAGCTGCAGTGTAAGCCAGGGACAGGGTGGGGAGGGCAGAGGGAGGGAGCCACAGCACTGATGGCCCCCCCCTCAGGCATCTGTTTGAGGAGGAGACCAGAAAGGCCCAGGAGCTCCTGGAGGACACTGCCCAGCGCCACGAGCAGCTGCAGGGGGAGTGCCAGCAGCTGCAGCAGAGGAGGCAGAGGTGGGCATGGAGCCCCTCTCCCTGTCTGTAAGGGGAGGCTGCTCAGGGAGTCTCCTGCCTCTGTCCCCTGCTCTCTCCCGCTCTCTTTTCCCTCTCCTCCCCTCCCCCTCCCTCTCCCCCCCTCTTATCCATCCCTTTATGTCCAGGCTGAAGGAGGAACTGGAAAAGCTCGGAGTGCAAGTCACTGCGCAAGCCCAGAGCAAACAAGAGGATGGGGCCAGCCCAGAAGAAGCTGTGAGCCCTGGAATCATGAAAGGAACTGGGGGTGGGGGGGGGTGGGAAGGCAAGGAGGGGGTTCAGGGGGTCCTCAGAGGATGATCTTCCCACAGGGGCACAGCCAAGGCAAAGTCTAGACTCTAGAAGAGGCTGTCAGTGGGGCGGGGGAGGGGCAGGCCCCAGGGAGGGTGTGGGTACACAGATTTGGGGAGACTTCCATCTCAGACCCTGACCTCCCACAGGCCAATCCAAAGCCCCTTGGAGTCAGCGAAGAGAAAGACCTAGAGCTGCCCACTGAGCAGGGCCTGATACCCTCCTAGGCGAGGAGGTCCCCCCTGCCCTTTTGCTTATGCCTGGGCTTCAGGAAATAAAGGCACTATTTCTGTACACCTGCCTCAGCTGTGTCCACGCTGGGGGGTTGGGGAAGGGGAGGAGAGGCCTCTGGGATTAGGTGAAGCTTTGGCCGCACTCGGCCTCTTGGCCTCAGAAGGCACTCAGTCAATGGTTCCCTCGCCTCCCAGTCTCTGGTCTGCTCACCTCCAGGACCCACTGCTCTGGGTCCCCGGGCAGAGGGATGCAGGCCTGAGACCTCTCAGGATAGGTCTAGGGTCCTGAGAACCCACCCTGTGGTGGTTTCTTCCATTCCGTAGCCAGGTTTGGATGACACAGCATCCCCGAAATCCCAACAGGGAGGACCAGGGTGCTGGAGACCTCAGCCAGTCAGTGACATGCCCACACTCACCACTGACTGGCTGAGAAAAAGAAATGCAATTGGAGGCTGAGTGTAGTTTGTGCCCTCATGGTCACAAAATGTATCACCGAGACCCTGTTATAAGACTATCATGTTAGAAACCCTCAGTGTGCTGGGAGACACTCAGGACTATGTGTGCCTCTGAGGCCTGTTTCAAATCCACCAAAATGCACCAGCCCGGTTAAAGGCAGTGTTGTCTGTGCTCCAGGTCAAAATACAGCAAATTAAGTACAAAGAGATTCCTTGTCTTGAAAGGCTCCCATGCCCAGGTAGGACAGTGAATGGTGGGGGTGGAGAGAGACCCACACAGGCCCCAGACTGAACAGCACTGTTCCCATGGAAAAGGAAGAACAGGCCTCAGTGGGAATTCTCCCGTCAGCAGGAGAGTTGAGGCATCAAACCTGAAACCGAGACTCGGTTTGAACAACAGGCCCAATGGTATCCTTATCCCAATCCCAGAACTTGTGACTATGTTACCTTACCCAGCAAAGGGGCCTCTGAATATGGGGTGAGGGTCTTGGGATGGGGAGACTGTCCTGGGCCATCTGGGAGGATCCCTACAAGAGGCAGGCAGGACGGTCCGTCAGAGAGAGACTGGAAGATGGTACCACTGCTGGCTTTGAAGCATGAGCTGTTTATTGAGGACGGTGTGTGCATCCCTAGTCGCTCCCCCCTCACTCGCACAGCTGAGAGCGGCTTCCTCACGCCCCTTTACCATCTTCAGAGCACCCGGGCCTCACGCTTGTGAGCGGGGAAGGAGACAGAGTTTGTAGTCGGGCGGGATGCTGGCAAACCCATTCACGATGGGGGTGAGGTCAATATCCTTGGGGTCGACGAGAGACTTCAAGTTAAAGTGCTGAAGAATGGCGGTGAAGAACAAAAACAGCTCCATGCGAGCCAGGCCTTCTCCGACACACACCCGCTTCCCTGCAGTGACAACAGCATACATGAGACAGCGGGCGGAGGCGGGATGGGCCCCTCTCTGCCCGTTGAAAGGAAGCACAGAATGTATTTCAGGGTAAGAGTATCAGTAACACATATTCAGGGACCAGCCTTCACACACCTCAACCACCAGGACGCAGCCGCCTAAACCCATGGGAGGTTGGAGAATGGTCTGCCCACCCCATGCTCACCCACGTCCCACAGGCAAGAAGCCAATGCTATACCATCAGGTGTCACAGTTACCGAGCTGGTTATAGGACCTTCCCTCACACCAACAGCTGAGAGACCCAGGCCCAGAGGTGACAGCCCAAGAAAGGCTGAGGGTCCCATGATGGCCCAGGTAACCAAACGTTACATTCTGTTTAGTAGCAGATAGAGAATTAGGTAATATCATTTTTGAAAGATTTTTTTTTACTAAGTTCTATTGAGTTTTAGTTCTGAATGAAGTGAAATATCTACTGTTCAGAAAGATAATCCATCCACAACACCTCATTCCCAGGACTTCTGGTGGGAAGATGTCATTAACCTCTCTGAACAGGGAGGCACGCATTGGGTCACATTGTGAATAAGGACGTGATGCGGGTCTGAGATGATGGCAGGTTACCCTGGGAATTCGGGACAAATCCTGGGAGGGTGCTACAGCTGAACTCTTCTTACCTGCGGAAAATGCCTTGAAATAGTCACTGTACTTGAACTTTCCTTTTTCATCCAGAAAATGCTCTGGCTTAAACTTGTCTGGGTCAGGGAATTCTTGTTTGTCAAACAAGAGGGAGTCCAGTGTCGGAATTAGGACTGTGCCCTAGAAGAACAAAAGCTTTCTCAGTCAAGTTAGCAACGCATGGGCTTCGATCTGGAGGCCTCAGTGAAGAAGGGGGTTTTGCATTTTACCTGTGCAGGAGGGAAAGTGTTCAGTGGGGGACTAGCTAGGAAGAACTCAGGTGTCAGGTCTAAATAGCAGTGGGAGCGCTAACCTTTTCACTGGAGTAAAGGGCTGGTTGTTGCTGTTTGTTTTCTAGTGTTAGAATATCCCACCAACAGCCCTGGCCAGTTTGTTTGGCTCAGTGGATAGAGCGTGGGCTCACAGACTGAAGTGTCCCAGGTTCAAGTCAGGTCAAGGGCATGTACCTTGGCGGAAGATTCCGGTCACTTGCAGGAGGCAACTAATCGATGTGTCTCTCTCACATTGATGTTTCTCTCTCTCCCTTTCACTCTCTCTAAAATTCAATGGAAAAATATCCTCAGGTGATACCACCAACCCCAGGGACTATCTCAGGAGCCCATTTTCCATATTTCCCCGATCTCTGTGGTCACCAGGTCCACGTGAGGACGGCTAGGGAAGGGGCACCCTGCAGCCAGGGGTGCCCGAGCCACATCTGCCAGCAGGAGTTGTCCTTGGGCCCTCCATCCTCTCCCCGGGCAGGATAGTGGCGGAGCTGGTAGGACAGCACTAGGGGTGTGCAGTCCAGCTCACATCTGACCTTGGGGATGATGTAGCCTCTGAACACTGTGTCCTGGGTTGCTTCATGATTCAGGTTGGAGGGCAGGAGATTGGTGAACCGCTGAATCTCGTGCACCACGGCGTCCATGTAGGGCATCTCTAGCTTGTCCTTGATGGAAGGGATTCGGTTTGGCCCAATCACCCTGTCAATTTCTTCATGAAGTTTCTCTGCCAAGATATGAATGGAAAGGTGTAAAGGATTGACTCTAGGCTGGCTCAACAGCCAGCCAGCCAGCCAGCCATCGAGGGAGCCCTCCAGGCCAAGAGTGCTTCAGGCTGCCAGGAGCCTGGGATTGTTGGACAACCCCTCCACCCATGTCAGCGAGAGCTAGGCTCGTCAGCTTCTAGTCTACAGCATGTTTTGGCATCCACTCTTTTTTTAGTTATTACTGAGGTCACATTGGTTTGTAGCATTATATATACAAATTTCAGGTGGGCAATGTTAAAATTCAACATCTGTATGTACTATATTGTGCTCGTAACCATCCATCACCATGGATAACCCAGGGGATATTAACACCTTATCATGTATGTGACTTGCCAATATCTTTTCCCATTCTGTAGGTTGCCTTTCATTTTGTACTGTGCAGGAGCTTTTTAGTTTGATGTTCTATTTATTTTCACTTTGTTTCCCTTCCCTTTGGAGTTAAATTCATAAAAACATCCCTAAGACTGATATCAAAGAGCTTAGTACATGCTTTCTTCTTCATATGTTATGGCTTCAGGTCTTAGGCTCAGATCTTCAATCCATTTTGACTTAATTTTTGTGTATGGTGTAATGTAGTGATCTAGTTTCATTCTTTTGCACGTGGCTATACACTTTTCCTAACACTACTTAACTATACAGATCTCGTGCTTTTCCATCTCCTCTTTTATGTTTTTCGTTGCCACAAACTATCCCATTTTATGCTGTGAGCTTGTTACCAAATTGAAATAGCTATAGTTATTTTTAATGCGTTTCCCCCTTTAACCGTCATGCTGTAATTTAGTGTTAAACACCCCACTCTGAAATAGCTTTGCAATTTTCTGATTCCGTCTGTCTCTTCTCACCTTACTTGAAGTTGTGTGTAGTTTCATCTCAGGGAGAAGAGCTCTTTACATTTCTTATAATGCAGGTCTAGTGGTGGTAAGCTCCTCAGCTTTTGTTGGTCCGGGAAGGCCTTTATCTCCTTCATATCTGAAGAATATCTGTGCTGGATAGAATCTTCCTGGCTGGCAGTGTTTATTTTTCAGTATTTTGAATATGTAATTTTACTCACTTCTGGCCTGTGGAGTTCTGCTGAGATATCTGCAGATAGCCTAATGGGGTACCTTTGTAGGTTACTATCTTCCCTCCCTCCCCCAGTTGCCTTTAAAATTCTATGTGGTTAACTTTTGGCAGTTTTAATATAATGTTTTGGAGAAGTGCTTTTTGTGTTGAGGTAACTAGTTGTTTAATAGCTTCCTATACTTGTATGCCCAGCTCCTTCATCAGGTTTGGGAAGTTCTCAGCTATTGTTTCTTTAAATAAGTTCTCTGTTCCCTTTTTACTCTCTTCTTATCTGGGATACCAAGTATCCGATGTTCCTTTTTTTTTTTTTTTTTTTTTTTTTTTTAGTGAGTCAGATAGTTTCTTCATTTTTAAAATCTTAGGTCTCTCTCCTCTTTCATGTGATCATTTCTAGATTTCTGTCTTCTCTCCCCTGTGGTCTGCTCTATTTCCAGGGCTTTCTGACGAGTCTTCACCTCATGTATTGAGTTCGTCGGCTCCAGGATATCTGTCTGGTTCTTTTGTAGAGTTTCAGTCTCTTTGGTAACGTGTGTTTCTGTTCATTAATTTTACTCGGGAGCATACTAAATGGTCCTTCTGAGTTTTCTCAAAGCTTGCTTTTCTTCATGCCAGCTATTTTGAATTTGCTATCAATTCGGTTACAATCTTCTGTGACTTTAAGTTTGAGTTCTGGAGAATTCTCATTCTCATGGTGTTTGATGAGTGGTTCCTCTGCCAGTGCATTTGGAGTAGCAACGCTTATTTAGGTAAAGCGTTGTTCACTTTAATTCCAAGATTCAACAGGTGGGTGATTAGATACCTTATTCTTTCTTCCAGTAGGTGGCGCTACAGCACACGCTTTTGGTTTCTCTTATCTGAG